CAGCAGCTGGTGTTGGGACAAAATGGTTGGGCAGGTCCACCTCCCCCTCACCCAGACAGCAGATTCGGGGGTCCTGGGGAAGATGTGACCTCCAGCGAGGCAGCTCTGTGCAGCTGAGGGAGACTGGAGACAGGGCAAGGCATCTCTCATGTCCTCCTGCAGCATGGCCACTAGCCTTCCTTGCAGGGGCCTGGGCCGCACATCTCCACGTTCATCACCGGAGCTTTACATTTCTGGTCAGGTGAGGTCCTATTTTGAGAGTGAAGTTTTAAAGGTTAATTGAGAAGGATGGTGATGATTTGAAGAATCCCCAAGGGAGATAGTAGAGGGTGCCGGCCAAAGGCAAGTCACAGGAACAAGCTGCACCACGGGCTTGACAGTGAGTGGACCCTGAGCCGCGGCAGCACCATTCTCAACAAGGATGCAGCTTCAGGCAGTTGGTGTGGATCTCTGTTGGAAGCTATTCTAGCCCCTATTTGCTACACCAGCTGTGATTGGCAGAACCAGAACAGGAGAAGGAAAAAACAGTTGGTAGTGTTTACCCAGAACTGGATACAGTGAGTGAGTGAAAGTCACTCAGTCGTGTCCGACTCTTAGCGACCCCATGGACCATACAGTTCATGGAATTTTCCAAGCCAGAATACTGGAGTGGGTAGCCTTTCCCTTCTCCAGGGGCTCTTCCCAACCCAGGGATAGAACCCAGGTCTCCTGCATTGCAGACGGATTCGTTACCAGCTGAGCCACAAGGGAAGCCCAGAACTGGAGATAGGATATTGGCAAAGAAGGTACAGTAAAAGTACAAAGGAGTCATGACATCTAAGCATCACTGGCATCCTCCCATGTGGGGTCCAAGCTGGGGAGAGAGGTTAGGGGTTAGATCACTTAACTGATAATCAGAGCACACAGGGGCTGGAGGTCAGAGCTGAAGCCTCCATGGTGAAAAGAGAGGAGGGGTGGATCGGAGCCCCTCCTCCCTCCTAAGTGTCATGGGCACCGAGCTAGGTGGGCAGTGACAGATTGGATGACTCATTCATAGGGCAGCTGCTGTTGAACAGTTCATCCAACCAGGCAGTGTTTTGGACACAGCTGATAGAGCGGTGACGAGAAAGCAATGGTCCTGCGCTTGCCACCTTTGCCTTTCAGCAGCAGGAGACAGAAAAAAGTGCTATATCAGAAAAGTCGTTTAGAAGGTGATGAGAGCTATGAAGAAAATGCAGCAGTAACGGAGGATCGGGAGGATGAAAATAGGCCGCAGTTTCACCCGGGGTGGTCCTGAAAAGCCTCACTGAGAATGCGGCATTTGAGCCAGGGCCTGAAGGAGTCGAGGACCACTCCATGCAGATGGCAGGGTCAAGAGCTTTCTGGACAGAAGGAGCAGCAAATCCAGAGCCCTGCAGACAGCAGCCTGTCCGGGGTGGTCAGCACTAACAGCAAGCTGGCGGGACCCACAGCAGGAGAGGGATAAGGAGCTACACAGAGGGCCAGGCAGCCAAGCACCCTACATAGGCCACCAAGGCCCTTGGCCTTGGCTCTTGGTGAGATGGAAGACCTATGGCAGATGCCATGATATCTGATGTACATGTTTTAACAGAGGCCTCTTAGCTGTTATCTCAAGAAGAGATGGAATGATAGGGACATGAAGGCTGCTCATGGCTGCACACTCTTATTGGACAGTGTGGTCCAAGTAGACAGCGGTGGCTTCCAGAGGTGGTCCACTGTCGTGTGTGTGGACCCTGTGTGAAGTGCCTGGAAGAATTCAGATTACGCCGTTGATGCCTGTCCTCACGTGGTCTTCATCTGCTCTCCTTGCCCCCTGCACCCCTCCACGAACTTCCCCCTTTCTGCCAGCACTACGGCTTTCCACGTGCAGGTTTCGCATTTCTCGTTTTAAACCGCGTCGTCACCCAGGCTTTGCATCTGTCCGCTTCCCGCGCTGGCGGCCCCGGGACGCACACAGTGAGAGGTGCCCTCCCGCGCTCTTCCACACCGTGACCCCTGACAGCCCTTCTCTTTGCACTCGATGCCACGTCTCTCCTTGTCTGTCATATTTTGTTGCATCGACCAGGTGTTTCGGGTAATTAGCTAGTCGTCTGTTCAAGATGTTTACATTTGAGCTATCACTGACATCAATCCTTTTAGTTACATCTTCAGAGAAAGTTAGAATGCAAATTCTGAAGGTAGGTTAATTTTCAATTCTGTGTCTTATTTTGCCTGCCATTAAAATAAGTCAAATCAGTTTTTCTCAAGTCGGTGGGATGCGAAGGACCACTGGTAAAGGAAAAAAGAATCGTCTAAAACTTCGAAGCCTGAATGAAACTGTTTTTAATGATGTTTCTTAGCTATGTCTAGATATAAATTTAGGTAGAAACTTCTTGCACTATACAGCTAGAAGACCCAAGTGAAAATTTATAAATTAAATATAAATGAAAGCACAAAACCAAAAGTATTCAAATTAACTCTGAATTTCATATGGAGGGCACTGTCGTCTTACCAAACTAAGTCGGTCCTTAGAGTGCAGATGGGGCCCTGAGTGCCTATGAGCTGGTGCTTGGCAAACCTCAGTCTGTCACCCCTCCTCCCAGGTGACAGGCTGGGTGACCCCTCCCCTCATATCCTCAGCACCAAACCACACGGCCCTCGCTTGTTGGGAAGGTGTCCTCAGAATTCTTTCCACCTCTGTTCTTTCCTCATGAGTTTCACCAAACAAAAATATGATCCCTTGTTCCCAAGAATGGACAGGAGGCTGAATTTCTCCAGTGGTTTTTGGTTGAATGGCAGCCAACCAAATGACCCAGAATAGACTTTTACTAATTGTTTAGATCAGAATAGCAACTCTGAAATGACCAACCTCTAAAAAGGAACTCAGGCTATAAACCTTGATGGCCTCCAGCAGGGGAAACACAGCTCAAGGGTTTCTTCCGGCATCAGGATCTAGCTTTCCTTCCTTGTAGGTAGGATGTGCCTATGACAATTAATTGACTAGATTTTCCACCAAAATATCCACCTTGGGGTTTCCATTTATTTTTCTTGCCTGCTGTTTACATTTTGTTCATTTTTTTTAAAAAAATTTATTACCTTAGTGAACATTTATGAACCACTTTCTCAAGAGTATGAAATGCAATAACATCAAAGACGAATATATATTGAATATAGTAACAAAGACTAAATCTCTGTTCCAGTATTTCATGTGACCACAGTTTCAGAATTGGAACTAACTCAAGTCAAATTCCTCTCTAAAATATTCTGCATAAATAGTTATTTAGCCTCTGTCTGAAAACTTCCAGTTACCAGCTGGTAAGGAAATATATTCCATTTTAAATTAGAAATTTATTCATAGTGAACCCAAGCATACCTGCTGTTGTTTAATCTATTTGCTCTAATCCTGCCTTCTAGAATAACGCACACATCTAGCCCCTCTCGCAGAGGATAACTCCTTCGCCCCCTGCAGACAGCGCCTCCCCGGCAGCCCGCCCTCCCCAGGCCAGCATCCTTGGTGCCTCCCACCTTCTCACATAACGACTCAGAGAAACAGCTCAGCTTCAGCTGTCGCTTAGGTGCATCTTCACAGAATCCATTTTCCTTAATAGAAAAGCCAACATACCACATCATCCATAGATCTGATCCCAAAGAAACAGGTCTCTATATCAATTCTGTTTCCAGAGTTTATGTTATTAATGATGGCAAATTAATACTGTGGAATAATGCTATTTAAAAGACAGAGATAGGAACATATTATGTCATCCATAGATCTGATCCCAAAGAAACAGGTTTCTATATCAATTCTGTTTCCAGAGTTTATGTTATTAATGATGGCAAATTAATATTGTGGAATAATGCTATTTAAAAGACAGAGATAGGAACATATTACGTCATCCATAGATCTGATCCCAAAGAAACAGGTCTCTATATCAATTCTGTTTCCCAAGTTTATGTTACTAATGATGGCAAATTAATGTTATGGAATAATTATATTTAAAAGACAGAGATAGGATACATTTTTAAACAGGAACTGGCCTGCCCTAGCATAGGTAGAGAGACAGATAGATAGACATATATACTTGTACATATATGTGTATATGTATGGATATGCTTTATTTGGGCTTCCCAGGTGGTGCGGTGATAAAGAGTTCACCTGCCAATGCAGGAAATGCAACAGACATGGGTTCGAGCCCTGGATCAGGAAGATCCCCTGGAGGAGGAAATGGCAACCCATGCCAGTATTCTTGCCTGGAGAATCCCATGGACAGAGGAGCCTGGTGGGCTACAGCCCATGGGGTCACAAAGAGTCAGACACGACTGAGTAACTGAACACACAGCACACATGATTTATTCACTTACTTGTTTTTTTTTTAACAACTGAAGAAGGAAACTGAATAAAGCTTGAGTAGGCTCTCACTGACTGAGCAGAACTAGAAGGTGGTGGGCACAGGACTCCATAATAGACCCTTTCCAAACTGAAAAGCAGCATCTTTAGGGTCTTGACAAAGCCTCCTGGAAGAACCAGGTGTGGTTCTAAACTCTAGCCCCATCCCATGGAGACAGGGCATCCAGCTGCCCCATCTTCATCCTTCACTCAGCGTGCAGAATCCGCGCCTGGAGGTGGTAAATAAGTGAAATGAACCAACAGCTGCTAACTCACCCTCTCTGGCCCCACTAAACCCTGGCTCTGTATTCGTGATAAGTGACATGCTGGGCAGAAATGACATGGTGTCCTCAGGCCCCATGACGTCCAGATCACAATCGGGAGGGGAGAAAAAGCTGGTCAGGGTCACGTGCAACTCCTTCCTCCAGAGCCACAGCGGGGGGCTGGCAGCAGCTGAAGCACCCTGGGGTGGGGGTGGGGAGTGTTGTCTGGTCGTTGGTTAGACCATGTTTTATGAGTGAGCATTTGTGTCCTTCCCAACAGCGATACTGGTCACCGGTAGCCGTGACTGCAGTGAGAACACATTACCATACTGAATGGGAATAACTCATCAGTGATTAATTCTTCTTCCCAACAGCTGGCTGTCCCAACTCCTTGATTAAAGAGCTCCATCACTTCAGGATTCTTGGAGAAGAGCAGGTGAGTCTGCCTCTCACAGGCTGCCCCGAGTGCCGTGGAAGATAGACAGTAATAAGACCATGCAGGCTCTCTCCTGGGAGGCGGGGGGTGTCTCCTGACCGCCCCCCACATGCCTGAAATGGGGAAGGGAGCCACGCAGGCGCTGTGTGTGGGAACCCGCTTTCCCTCTCTTATCCATCAGACCCGACAGGTTATTAATTGGTACATCTGCTACCTGCCAGAGCATTTCATCTCAGGATGCGGCAGTGAGCAGGTATGGCGTGGTGGCCGATAAGCAAACAAATAAGTGCTGAGAGGAATTATGCCTAAGGGATCGATCGGTACAGACAGGGCTGGGTTTGATGTCTGTGGAGGCATGTGCAAGCTCTTTTCGCCAGAATTTTCTATTTTGCGTGTTATCTGTACTTCTCTGCCGCTGCGTTCTCAATGGGTGTGAACATATGACTGATATTCAATGGCTGGCCCATTGAAAGTTGATTATTTATATGCTGTGTTGTGCTTAGTGAGATATGGCAGGTTCTAAATAGATGTGCTAATAATTCAGAGTGCTACATATTACCTATGTATACGTATACACACACACATTTTTGACCACTTAGAAATAAATCTCTTAATCATCATATGGAATTACAGGATCCATATTATTATGTTAAATCTGATGTCAAGTTATCCTTGAAATACTTATGTCAGGACTTCCCTGGCAGTCCAGTGTTTAAGACTCCACACTTCCAATGCAGGGACACAGGTTCAATCCCTGACCACAGAACTAAGATCCCACATGCTGCACTTTGCGGCCAAAAACTAAAATAAAATTTTAAAAAAATAAATACTTAAGCCATATAATTTATGGGCTTCCCAGGTGGCTCAGTGGTAAAGAATCCTCCTGCCTATCAGGAGACATGGGTTCAATCCCTGGGTCGGGAAGATCCCCCAGAGAAGGAAATGGCTACCCACTCCAGTATTCTTGCCTGGAGAATCCCATGGACAGAGGAGCCTGGTGGGTTACAGTCCACGGGGTTGCAGAAGAGTTGGACATGACTCAGCAACTAAACAACAACAAATGTCCTATAGTTTACAGCATGGTGGTTGACCTATTTTGTACTCTTATTGATTTTTACTACCAAAGGCAGTCTTTGCCCACTCTGACCAGAGAACATGTAGTTAGAGGTGTAGTATCTCAGTTTTTTCAACAGGTTTTTGGTTTGTAAGTTTTTGTTTGGTGTTTGTATGTCAGAAAGTGGAACTTTCCATCTCCAACATGAGATTTCAAAAAGAGGATTAACTCAAGGAGGAAGAAAAGCTGGAATCATTTCCAACTCCCTGCATTGACAGGTTACAATATGCCTCATTCATGTTTTCAGACTGTAAATTTCCAGAATAACAAACAGGAATATTTATTCAAATACAAACAGAATCAATGATATTGCATTTCCAAGAGCTGATAACAGGTCCCTAACATACCTACTTATGAAAACACCTTTCCCTCACAGCTATTTTCCTGTGAAAGCCGTGAGATTTCTTAAAGCAAAAATCACTGATTGTTACCCTGAGATTTCTGCTCAGATAATAGAACCTTCTCTTCTAACTTGTACCAATATTTGCAGATTGTTTCCATATTTGTTTTAGAGTCATTGGGTGATTAGTAGGGAAAGAAGCCAACTATAATCATCTCCTTAGATCTACATAAAATTCAAGCCATTTTGCATTTTCCCAGGCATTTAATCAAGCTATAATCAAAGTCACTATTTCTCTGATCAGTTGTGCTAATGGCCACATAGTGCATCACAGCAATACTGATCTTTATTTCCTAAAAAACCACAAGTCCTTCCTTCCTTCCTTCCTTCTTCCCTTTCATTCAATGGATACTTAATAAGCACCTACTCATATGCTGTATACGATTCTTACAGGGATAGAGAAGTAAAAAAGAGAGTCCTCTCAGGCTTACCTTCTAGTTGGGGAAAGCTATTCATGTTATATATACACAAATGTGTTCAGTATATAATATGTTAACAGAGCTGCTATGTCTCTGTGACACAGTTAGCACATTTGGCTATTCACCAAAAGGTTGGTGGTTCAAACCCACCCAGGGGCATCACCTTTTGGTTGGGCTTCCCTGGTGGCTCAGATGGTGAAGAACCTGCCTTCAATGTAGGAGACCCAGGTTCAATCCCCGGGTCAGAAAGATCCCCTGGAAAAGGAAATGCCTACCCATTCCAGCAATCTTGCCTGGAGAATCCCTTGGACAGAGGAATCTGATGAGCTACAGTCCGTGGGGTCGCAAAGAGTCAGACAGGACTGAGCGACTAACACTTTCACATCATATGTTAGACAGTTATGATTGCCATGGAGGAGGAATAAAACCAAAAAGAAGGATGGTGCATGCTGGGGGGAGCTGAAGTTTTACACCAGGTGGTCAAGAAAGGTCTCGCTGAGGCAGGTGCTATGTGCACGAAGACTTGAAAGATATGAAGGAAAGTGTCATGGTGAGGTCTGGGAAGAGATCCCCGGTAGAGAGTCAAGTGGGCACAGGAGTTCTGAAGTGACCATATCTAAGGCTCATTTCATGTAAAAAGTGTTTTAACATATGAAACAGAAGGTGTGGTCCAAATAAAGTGGGAAGGAATCCAGGAACACGTACACTGGGAGCCAAAGGAACACAGTGTATCTGGGAGGAAGACTGATTATCCACGCCACGCACCTATCAGGCAGGACAAGGATGGGAAGTGAGCCCTGGGATTTGGAACTTGGAGGTCATTGTGACCTTGACCAGTGGACTGGTGAGGGTGAAAGCCTGCCTGGGTTGGATTCAGTGGAAAAGGGAGAAGAATGAGAGAGAGGGAATATAGATACTTCATTTTTTTTATTTTTATTTTTTTTAGGAATTTAGCTATCAATGAAAACAAAGATATGAGGTAGCTGGAGATAGAGAATGTGAAATCAAAAAAATTTTCTTTTTTATAGGCAAAAAAATACATGTTTATGTGCTGATGGGAATGATTGCAGCGCAGCAGGGAGATAATGCAGAGGAAAGAGGAGCATGTCAGGAGCAACATCCTTGATTCGACAGCTAGCAGAGTGTAGATTTGGCCAGAGACAAAGTGGGGACGGCTCGACCTGGTGGCAGCGGGGAGGGCCGGATACACGGGAAGGATTTTGCTGGTTGTTTCACGGGAAACAGAGTCATCACTTGAGAGTTAAGTGAGGCAAGAGTTTTACAGAGAGTGGAAAGGATGGTGAAAGTGTCATTTAGGAGGGTAGGGAGTGAATAAGGGTAGAAAATGAGTGAATTTGGAGTGAGATCCATCAACCTGGGTTTTTTTTCTGTCACGCTGACCGGTGTGGGCACAGATGCAGAAAAGGCAGAGGGTGAGGGTTAACCAGCCACCCCGGTGAAACAAAAGCAGGAGAGACAGCGGAGATCAGGGCAGACATACGGGTGTGAGTGTAGTAACTGAGCCTGGCATTTCAGCTGGATGAGGCGAGGAGGGGGAAGAAAAGGGGGTGGAGAAAAGCGATAGGGTCCACCAGCTATGGGTCCCGCTGGATTCAAGGAGTCTTTGGATTCAGGGTTTTGTGGAGGTAGTGTGGAGATTGGCAACGACAAGGTCGAGAGGAAGAGGGCCCAAGGGTGGCCAAGTTAAGGGAGGGGACAAGATGACTGGAGAAGTTGAGGGCACGGACTTGAAAAGGCCAGGGTCTTGGAAAGGATGGCCCATGTGGACCCTGGGGCCCTCCAGAATTATCATCAGGGCAGACTTAGAGGGAGTGCTGGTGAGGCAAGAACTGGGGCTTCTAGAAAGAAATGGGTCAGGAAAGGGAGAGAGAGATGGAGGAAGCTGGGGGTATCCGACTGTAAAAGAGAAACGACAGAGCCTGATGGTTTGAACATCACAACTGGGGGGGTTCCAGAAGGAGAAGGGAAAGCTGTTGTGTTTGAGGATGCTGAAAATCCACGCAGTGACGCAAAAGGGAGCGGTGGAGAAAACTTGTGAGGGGCGGAAGGGGAAGTAAAGTGAAAGAAAGCGGAAGTCCTGTCCTGGGGCGGAAGCCGAGGTCAGTGAGGGAAGAATGTGAGAAGAACACTGAGAGAGTAGGTAGGTTGGGTTAAGGGCAGTTACTGCTGACTCACTCTGAGTTCCCCCAGCTCGGGGGCGGGAGTTAGGGCAGCTGGGGGACGCGGGAGGGAAAAGGGATGGATGGGGCCTTGTGTGGGGTTGGGGGTCAGACGGGAGAATCGACAAGGGAGCCAGGAATCTCTTTGGTGACTGATATAAACAGGTCACTGCAGCTGGGGATACTTCTATCCTGATGACACATGGACAAGACCTAGTGGCCTCGGGGCAGACGGTGGCATGAGGTCTGTGGAGCAGTGGAGAGTTCCAGCTACACCACCACCCCTGGCTGTGGGGGTGGGCAGCCTCACCCAGGAGCGGCTGAAACCTTCAGCCTCTCTCTGGATGCTTGAGGCAACTTACATATTACAGGACGAAATGAAATTTTTACATCACGTATTACAAGTTCCCTTGGACAGATCATTTTAGTCTCTAACTTCGTTTTTCGGTTTGTAGAAGAAAGAAGAGTAATGCTCAGTCATCTCTTAGAATTTTTGTAAATAAATAAGATGGCAAAGTAAATTGCAGATATTAAGTGCTACACTAAAATATTTCTGATATAAGTACTATTTACAGTCCATCAACAGACTGAACTTGCAGCATCAAAGTAAACACTAAAATCAGAGTAACAAGGAACTACAGTCAATATCCTATTAAAAAGAAAGCATAATGGAAAAGAAAAAATTAAAAAATAATCAGTGTAATGTTCACTTAAAAGTTGATAAAAGAGAGTTGATAAAACCTGTACAGATACTGGTTAATTAATTACTGAATTCATTACTGGATGGTAGAGATGCTCACCAGCTATCTAATTTCTTTGTATGTGTTTCCTTTTCAATTTCATTCAATAAGCACTTGATTTTTTGAGATCTGAATTAAAAATAAATC